CCAATAGAATCTATCACTCATTTTCAGCAGCAATTGGTATAGTGAGAACAAATAGAATGACTGTTGGGACTATACAACCTCTCCATGTGGGGCAAGGTGAAATGTCCTCCCTTCCAAGAGAGAAGCCAGGTAGAATTTAAGGAGCAGTCTGTTGGAGTACAGATGCTCAAATGCGTGTAGAAGTATATGAAAGCTAAATGGCCAAAGGGATGGGCTGTACCAGTTATCAATTTATTGCCTCTATCTTGAGATTTACTCTTCAGTAACTGCTCTGCAGTGAACTAGACTCTTCAAGTATTTATTATTTACAGTGAGCACACTGTTAAACTTTGTCATTCAAAGGATTTGGAAAGACAAGAGGAAGGGGTTTTTCTTTCTTGTGCTTGTTGCTGCATTTTTCTGGCTCTCGTTCATGCTGTGTAGGCCAACATTAGTGCTTCTGAGTGTCAATATCTAGGGGTGTCCAGGAACCACATGGTCACTGAGCAACCTCATAGTCCCATCCCATCTCCGGTGGCCACCATACTGTGCTGCACCATCTCCCTGATACAAACACCATGTGACCCAGGCCTCATGCTCACAGCAGCATAATGGCACCCTCTATGCGCCAGTCCACCAGCCTCAACTTTCCTGAACCACAAACTGTTCTGTCTGCTTGCCTGGCAAATACAGCAAGCAACCTGGTGAATGTCTCTGCCATTCAGGTTCTTTTGAGCTCACCATCTCCAATGAAATCTGAAGCCCAGCTTTGGGACAGAGCCCTCTCCACGTATCTCCTGCTATGGATGCTCTCCCTGAACCTGGGGTATTTTTACAATTCTCTTTTCAACTTTATAATTTCTATCCCATTGGAATAATTTTATATTAAACTTTCCTTGTCTAAATTGCTGTGTGATTTATCTCCTGCTTGAACTCCAACAGATACAGCTTCCTTCATAGTGCTATAGTGGAGAATGAATGATTTCATTCTCATATGGCAATAAACTCATTGATATCATTCTGCAAATATTTGAAATTCTTATCTTAAACTAGAAAGCCTATTTATTCATATTACAGGGTGTTCAATGAATTAGAACTTGATTTTTTCCTGTAAGAGAAACTATTGAACATAGACTTGAAGGATGACAGGTTTGGGAGTAATTTGCCTAAGTAGCCCAAGGCCTTCCAGGAGGGAACAAACAAGCAGATCAATTCTTGTTCTCTGAGGTTCAACGCTCGTAAAAAACAATCAGGAAAGTTCAGGTCACTCTGATCAAGGCCCAAGGGTAAAAAAGGCAATTAGTCCCCTGAAATGAGTCCTCCACTGAGGGAGGAGGAAAGAACACAAGGCCTCCCCACTGAGGCAAGTCAAGAGGCCATGGTGAGTGTGTCAGGGAGGGATTGGAAAGAAATACTTGATCTTGCTATGGGTAACAGTGTGTGTTCTGAGACGCATCTCTAAGTAGAACTTAAGGGTTGTCACATTGGGAGTCCCCCACGCGTCAAAAATCCAGTATCACCAATGTGAAGAGCACAAAGACAGGCATTGCTCTGCCCTAAAGAACTGACAGAGACTGAAGCCAAAGGCGATGTCTGGTACAGTGGCAAGAAACCACACTCATAGATGTGTCCCCTATGGCAGAGACAAGATCCTTTGGATTGTTCAGCTCTCAACTGCTTTCAACTCCAAAGTCAAAACCATGTTGGCCCCTTCAAAACTAACAACTTATGACTGTGACCATTTCATAAATCAGAAAATGGAAGTCCAGACAAATGAAACAACTGACCAAGATCACTGGACAAGAGAGCTGTGGCCCGGGGCTCAAATTCCTCCCTTAAGCTTCTGTGCAAGCCAGGCAGGACATCGGGAGACAGGCAGCCTGTGGACAAGGGGCACAGTTTCCATATCACAGACGGGGAAACTGAGAGTCAGTTACCTAAAAGGTGAGAGTGGTGAGATTTCTTAAACACTTTATTAGTTATAGCTCTAAAGGGGATAAAACAGTGAGTGTGCTTCAAATAACTGCTTGTGTCACATAGGCAACTAGGCTAAAAATAAGGGACAAATCAAAAAAGCACAGCCATAGCCAGCCACAGTCAGGCCGTCCAGGGCACCAAGGCCTCGGAACAATACCACTTATGTTGTCCATCACCTTGGACACTGCTCTGCCCTTGGCCAGCTGAAAGAACCTATCACCAGAAGATCTCTACTATAAAAAATGTTAAAATCCTTTTACAAGACAGGAAAATGATATCAAGTGGAAATCTGAATCTATGTCAAACACTGAAGAACCTCAGAAATGGCAAATATGTGAGTATACAAACCATTTTTCTCACTTTTCAAAATGACTTTAAAACATAATCAAATGTCTAAAGAAAACATAATAATTTATTTTGAGGTTTGTAACACACAGAAAATAGAATATATAACAAAAGCAGCAAGAACCTAAGAGAAAGGAAAATGAAAGTATGCTGTTTCGAGCATCTATTATATAAGAAGTGATTTATTATCTGAAAGCAGATAAAACTGTGTAATATAAACTCTAGGACAGCAATTTTAAAAGACATAATTTATGAACAAAAGATGAGATAAAATGGAACCATAAAAACTATCCAGTTAATCCAAATAAAGGCAGAGGAAACAAAGGGCAAATAAAACAGGAAGCAAACCACTAGGTGCTTTTTTTTTTTGGTACCAGAGATCGAACTCAAGACCTTGTACTTGCCAGGCAGATACAGCACCACTGAGCTGCATCTCCAGCCCCATTAGATGCTAAACCCAACTATGTCAACAGTCATATTAGATGAAAATGGTCTATATACACTCCTAATTAAAAGGCAGAGATTGTTAGAGTGACTTTTAAAAGGTCCCATTTGACTCAGCTATTCCCCTGCTGGATATCTTCCCAAAAGAATTAAAAGAATCATACCACAGCGATATATGTGCAACCATGTTTGTAGCGGCAGTTTGTAATAGCTAAAGCTTGGAAACAGCCCAAATGCCCATCAGCTGCAGACTGGATAAGGAAAATGTGATTTTTTAATAAAATTGAGTACTACTACTCAGCCATAAAGAATGAGAAATTAGAGACATTTATAGCTAAATGGATGCACATTGAGGCGATACTCTTAAGTGAAATAAATAGAACACACATATGTAAATACCAATAGTTTCTCTAATGTGAGACACTGAAAATGTAAATAACGATCAAAATGTGTAATAGATAATGTGAAATAGGAAGAAAAGGGGCAAAGGGGAGGGGGAAGTGGGAGGGATAGGGGAAAGGAAAGAAGGGAATGGAATTCATATGAGAAAATGAAAAAATGGAAACAAAGTCTTTGTAAATAGAGAGGGGTGGAGGGGTTGAAGGGAGGGCAGGGGAATGGGGAAAAAGTAAGAATCAAGAGAGATTATGTAAAGGTACAAATCTCCAATGATGAATGTCATTATATTGTATACCTAAAATGTGCCAATAAAATTAATTTTAAAAAAAAGAACTAACTGTAGACTGTCTTATTCTCCTCTATGTCCCTAGTGCTTAAACATTACCTGAAATGTGATAGACATTGATAAGTGTTTGTGGAGTGAATTAAATAAATAATAAAGGCCAATACAATAATTGGCCTTTTGCTTTCTTTGAAAGGACAGCTGCTTCCCATATCCCATGGGGCTAGGGAGATGACCTTGTCCCAAAATCATTTGTAATTGGATTCCTAGAGAAGCCCCTTCCCCTCTTTGGCTCAGTTTCTTCATTTCTAGAAGGTGCTGGACTGCTGAGCTTTCCTACTGGTTCTTGTCCTCGAGTACTAAGAAAAGGCCAACCTTGGGCCTACCTGGCAACTCTGCACAGCCAGGAGAACCCAGGAACCTTGTTTACTGGGAGAATTGAAACAGGGGCATGAAAAAGTTCTGAGTGCCTATGATGGAAATTAAGCTGAATTCACAAATTTCTCTAACATTGTACTCTAAGAAGACCCTTCTAGAACTCCAGACTTTCTAAATATTAAAATGATTTTTTTTTGTTTCCATGGGCCATATTGAGCGATGTGTCTTTAAAAATTCAATAAAATCGGATTAATTCAAGTCAGTCATATTTGTGGGCATTTTATATTATCTAGAAAAAATGTTTTGCTAAACCTCTTAAGAATGTAAACAAAACAGGAAGCACCAATATTTACCCTAGATAAGTAAGCAAATCATTTTCAAGCCTTTGATTTGGAACTTCTCCAGCCTGGAAGAGCTTCGGCGATTATCTGACTGACCTCCATCTTCTGGTGCTGCCCTTGCTGTGAGTGCCCAAGTGAACTTTCAGAAACATAACAAGAGCACCTTCTGTGTGCTACAAACCAGGCAGGCACTGTACGTAGATTATATTTTTAACCCTCACTACAAGGTCATGGTTCTATTATCAGCCTCATCTTATAGATTAGGGAACTGAGGTACTGGGAGGTGGAGTAACCTGTCCAAGGTCACAGTCAGCAGTTGGGCTGGGATCAACCCCAGAAAGTTGTGCTACATAGCACACTCTTGATTCATTTCCTATGCAATCTCCCATTTCAGAGCTAGGCCACTGATTCTCCAATATAAAGACCTTTGAGATATCTTTCAGAAAAATTCATCCCAGCCAGTGCTCAGAGGTCTCTGCTCCAAATGTCACAAGTCTAGCTCCTTCCCACCATGCAGGCCTCTTTGTCTCCTATTAAACCTTGCTGTCCCTTCACCCCCACCCACCACCAACCCAGGCACCCAGGCCCTCTTCTTTCACCTGGCCTTGGATCATTTCCTTAAGGCAATTCCTTGCAGTCTAAAGCAAACCTGTTAATGTTGGCTAATTGATCAGCTGCCTACCCCTCCAGAATGTCCCACAGCACATAACTTTTGCCTGTATATTTCATGACAGTATTGATAGGGCCTAGAACAGTACTTAACACAGTCATTGCAGGATATCTGTTGGATGGATGAAAGCTGAATGAAAAAATAATTGAACAAATTCCTATATCCCAAACCCAGCCTAGTGTACCTGGGCCATGTGGTTTACTTTCAATGCAAGAAGAACAGCGATCTCAGAAGTTCTTGAAATCAATCTTGGATCTGTTCATGAAACAAGTTTTGCTGAGTTATTGGAAAGAATCAGTAAGATGGCTAAGTGGGTTTTCACCCTGTTTAGGGGACATGTGGTTTTCAGGCCATTTCTTTTGATGAATTCATTAGCCTAGAAGCAGTGATGGTGGTTGTATAGGACTGTGGCCTCCTTTACCTGATGAGAAAACTGAGACTCAGAATGAGGGGAAAGACTCAGTCAGGATTGTATGTTGAGTCACAAATAGGTCTGACACAAGAGGTCACTTCTCCTGCTCTTTTATATTTATTTCTGAGGCTGTTGGGAGGTACTGACATAATCTGTTTATGGGTACATAAATCAGTACTACTCTTCTTGATAACATTCTAGTTACAGTAACAGTAGCAATTTAAAAACAATAATGGTAGGGCCAGGGATTTAGCTCAGTGATTTTGCCGCCTGCTGCGCAAGTGCAAGGACCTGAGTTCGATCCCCGGTACCAAAAAAAAAAACACAATAATAGTAGCTACTAATGCAGGACAGTAAACACTTTAAATCCTCACAGTTGTAGGGTCCTATTATTATCCTCATTATAAAGATGAGGAAACTGAGACCTAGAGAGGGGAAATATGTTGTCCATGGTCACATAGTTTATGATAGTGAAGCAATGAGTATTAAAAGCATTCGGTTTGATAGACTCACTTCTTGGATGTTCCCCCTAAGAAAAGGATTATGATGCACACTTAAAATGAATGGCATGTTGTCTAAAAAGACAGAGGCATTCCTTTGACACTGGCCAAGAATGAAACCTCTCCACTAGCCAATAGGCATCTATCTGCTCCTGGTCACCCCCCACCATGTTGGCATCACCATTATGGTTTGCCTCTTGCTTTGAGATTGAGTAGCTCGTTGTTTCCTCCTTGAGGTCAGGACCAAAGAGCCCTCTCTCCTGGATCCCTATGTCCTCAGCCTCAGGGTGATGCAACATCCTGCCCACCCATGGAGTAGTTTGTGGCTGATAAGAAGCACCCTGCTCAACCCTAGCCCGCCATCACCCCCATCACTCATTCTCAACACACTTCTCACTGTCTGTCAGAAACTGAGAAGCAGATGCTCAGCCGCAGAAGAAAGGGTGGCAGGAAGAGGCACATTTCCTTGGCCTAAAAGGCTCTATCTTGCAGGCAGGCGATGAATGGCAGAGGGACAGCCAGCAGGGCTGAAATGGCAACAAGGCTTGGGAGGAGCTATGACAACCCCTGTGCTTAACAGGGGTAAGGGATTGACAGGCAAGGTGGACAGGGGGTGAAATTTCTGCTCCTCCATCCTGCCTGGGACAGGGACACAAGAGAGTACTACCCAGTGGGAGAGCTGGCACAGGTGCCACCTTCTCTCCTCCCCCGGTCTCATTTTGCCAGACACTGAGGAGGCTCTTCAAATAAATTCCCTGGAATCTTTCCGTCCTACAATTTCCACTGAACATTATGTATCTCTCATATTTATATAATTTTTTTCTTCTTTGCTACCACCTGAAATGTCAAGTATCTCTTTTCCAGAAGCACTGAATTGAGATAAAGAGGATTAGGGGATATTTTTATCCGTTCAAAGATCACCTGGGGTGACTGGGAGTCAACAGATCCCCTTGGAGGCCACCATCTCCTTCCCCTTCATCCTCCTGGCCCCTCCTGGTCCCCTTCCCACTCCCCAGATACTGTCTTTTCCACCCCTGACCCTGGGAGTCCAGCAGTGCCCACATTAATCCTAATCCAAGGCACATGACCAACAAAAGGCTCAAATTTCCCAGAGTCTGGCAAGAAAGCAAAGGCCGAGTCTGCCTTGGAATGAGATTCCAGCAAGAACTGCTCTGTGTGCCCCTTTGAAAATCACCCATAGGCCCCTTGGGACCACGTAAGAAGAAGCTGGGTTTTAAATGGGTCAACAGAGGGAGGTAAAATCAGCTGACAAGAGCTCAATAGAAATGTATTAACTTTTAATGATGAACAGCCAAGGCTGCTTAAATATTTAGAAGTACAATTCATCACTTGAAAGGCCAGTTATGGCTGCAGAGAGATGCCAGTCTTCTGGGATCTTTACACCTAGGATTTTACCAGTTGCCATATCTTGCAGAAACCTGTGAACCATGTAATTTTTCATAATATAACTTTTCATTTATTGAACACCTACTAGGTGCCAGTTACTTTTCTCATTGCTGAGACAAAATACCCAACACCTACAAGTTAAGGGAGGAAAAGTTTATTTAGCTCACAGTTTGTAGAGGTTTCAGTCTATAATTGGCTGTCTCCAAGCAGGGCGGCATGGCAGACAGGTATCACATGGGAGAAACAGTTCATGGTGACCAGAAGGTAGTAAAGCAACAAGCAAGGAACAAGACAAGCCTCTTACTACCCCTTATATTGCATCCAGGCTACTGGGATTAGAGTGGCACCAAACCAATCAGTGGACTGATTCAGTAGTCACCTGCTCTTAATCCTAGCATTGCACCATAAATCAATCACAATCTAGATTCAGCCACCTCTGAAAAAGCCCCACCTATGACCACCTGAGGCTTTGGGGGACGTCTAGACACAAACCATAACATTCTGCCCCTGGCCCCCCAAGAACTCATGCACATCTCTCTACGCAAAAGGCATTCGGTCCATCTCCAAGAGTTGCCAAAATCCTAACAGTTTCAGCATGGCTGAAAATTCCAAGTCCAAATTCTTAGCTGTGAGCCCCATATCAATGAAAAGAAAGTTAAACACTTTTCCAACATGCACTGGCACAAGGTAGACATTTCCATTCCAAAAGGTACAGAGAGAGGGATAGAAAGGAATGGGACCAAAGCAAGTCCAAAATCCAGCAGAGCAAACATTAAGTCCTATAGTTCCATGTCCAGCATCCAAGGCAGTCTGTGACAAGATGTGAGCTCCAAAGGGCTTGGGTGGCTACTTAGCTCACCCCTACTGCACTTCCAGTGGTTGTACCTCCCACAGCTTCTCTCTTGGGCCAGCTCTGCTCCCTCCTTGCAGTTTTCCTCAGATGATCCATGTTCCCAACTTCTCCAAACTTCTGGGGCCTCCATTGCACCTTCCACTTCACACTCACAGCTTCACACACTTCCCTCTCAAGGGCACACTGCCTGGCCTTCCAGGCCTTCTTCGGAAATCTTTGTGGAAACCTTCCTGACCCCACAGCTCTTGCATTCTGAATACACCTAACACCAGAACCACATGGATGATGCCTAGGTCTGCCACCAGCTGGAGCAGTAGCCAGGCTTCCTTCTCTCTCAGCTGTAGGGGTCAAGTGCCTATGAACAAAATCCCGAAGAACAACTTCCCTAGGTCATTGCAATTCTGGAAACTGGTGCTCTGGGACTCTCTTCTCAAAGCAGTCTTTCGCCTTTGCAACTATGAGGTTGCAAAGGCTGGAGTCCTGCTAGTTCTTGTGGTGTCCTCAGTCCATCTGTTGCCATCTGTTATCTTCTTCTGAAATATTTGGCTTTTTTTCTACTTTTCAGTGACCAATTTCTCCTCTCTTCCATCTTTGCAGGCCCAAGCTTTACTGGAGCTTCCTTTCTGCCCAAACTCAAAATGTTTTAAATCATTCTTCTTGACTCCTTGCTCTTGATTCTCAACATAAATCTGGCTAAAAGCCCTCAGCCATAGCCATGCCACTGTCCCAACATTAGACTGTCTTGAAATTTCTTCTGCCCTTAATCTCAGTCTCAGGCAAAGTCTCTGGACATGATCAAAACACAGACAAACTTTCTGCCAAGCCATAACACACACAGCATCTGAGTCCAACAGCCAATGCACTCTTTCTTCCCCGCAGAAAGTCCCTGAGCCTGGTCTTTACTGGCATCATTTCTGTCAGCAGTCTGGTCTTCTGAGCTCTGACCAGAATCACCCATCAAGTACAGCCTAAAGCATTCCAGCTCAACTTTTCAGCTGGCACCTCTGAACCATAACTCTTCCTCTTCCCACAAGCCAGCTCCAAAAGCTCCTAAACCACATGGTCAGGTACAGTCACAGCAACAAACCCACTTCTCTGGTACCAAATTCTGTCTTACTTTTCTCATTGCTGAGACAAAAACCCAACACCCACAAATTAAGGGAGGAAAGGTTTATTTGGCTCACAGTTTGCAGAGGTTTCAGTCCATAGTTGACTGGCTCCAAGGCAGCGTGGCATGGCAGAAGGGCGTGGTAGAGGAGAAATAGTTCACGGCTGGCAGAATACAGCAAAAGCAAGCAAGGGACTAACAAGCCTCATTTTGCCCTTTATATTATATCCAGGCCACTGGGATTAGGATGATGCCAAACCAATCAGTGGACTGATTTAGTAGTCACCTATGCTTAATCTTAGCACTCTTAATCCTAACATTGCACCATGGAACAATCACACACTCTAGATTGAGCCACCTCTGAAAAAGCCCCACCTATGACTGCATGAGGCTTTGAGGGGACATCTAGACACAAGCCATAACATGAACTCTACATACATGTCATTCCAAAATAACTCTGAGAAGTCAACTACTTAAATGAGTAAATAAATAAATACACACACACAAATGAAAATAGACTTTCAGAGAGGCAGAGTGACATGTTCAAGAGTCACACAGCTAGCAACTGAGGAGCTGGAACCTAAAGTCAAGTGTTTTAGACTCAAAAACCCACAGTTTAACTTTTGCTTTGATCATGACAGGGTGACTGATACTGCATGTGCCCTATCACTAACCCACAAACATACAAAAAATGAGCAAAGCTCATGCAACAGTTAAGTTGAGTTACTAATATGATTGGTTTGGAAGTCACCTAAGGGACTAGTAAAGCACACTCTGGTTCATCTGTGTGGATCATGGAGGTGTGACCTTGGATCCACATCTGGTCTCTGGCCCTTTCCTCTTTGCCACTGCTCCCCTGCTCTGCTTTGCAACTGTCATGAACTGAGTAAACCATGCTCTTTCCTCTACCGTGCCCTTCTGCCATGATGTTCCTGCTTTGGAGCCAGTCAATCATGGACTGAATCCATTGGAACC